CGCCGCCCCCCCCAGCCTGTCCCTCTTCTCTGCTGCCACCCTGCTGAGGTGACAGGCTGCATAGCAGCTTACATCGGTTTCTCTCAGCTCCTTCCCTTAGTGTAGGTGTTGTCTCATTGGACACCACTCAGCTGCGAGTTTAATGCTTGCCTGCAAGTCCAGACAGAGGTTTCCTGTTGGTTTTCCCTTTTGCAAGGTGTTTCCCTTCATTATCAGGAACTCCTTTGTTTTCTAAACTAGAGATAGCCACAGAGCAGTTTGTTACAGCCCAAATGATCCTCGGTCTGGAAGAGTGAAGTGCGTTGTGGCACAGCTGGGTCTGCACCTGCCCTCAGCGTACCAAAACAACCACACAAAGCTGCTGGCCACCACCTTTCCCCCTGCTTTTTATGTCCTGTTGGTTACAGCAGTAAAACTCTCTTGTTGTGCAACCCCATATATTGCTGCTGCTCTTGCAAAGGGGTTGCTCAGGTATCATGGAGTGTGCTGACTGGTACAATTTGGTTATTTGGGCGATTAGGCACCAGATTTGGCTCTCTGATTTTTAAATACCTCAAAGCCTGGTATATACCTCCATGAACTATTTTGAAATCATTGGAGCTGCATGGCAAATAAGTCAGTGTGAAGTTTAGCCATTATTCCCCTAATTGTAGGGTATTGTAGGAAATCTATGGCGAAAGGTGTGTTCTTTAGTTCCTCCCTCCGCAAAGACACCCGTGCAGCAGGTGTCCGTGTTCGCAGTATCAGCTGAGCAGCCAAACTGGGCCAGCAGCTAAGCTGGTCCTCTTGGTTGAGTCCTGTGGACCTAGGAAGGACTTACCTGGCAGGGTGCACAGGGAGGGCTTGCCCTAATACAACTCGTGCTGTCAAACAGCCCTTTCCTGCCTCCAGGGTTGTCAGTCCAGCACCTTCAACCAGTTCTAAGTGCACTCCAAAAAATATTTTTTAAAACGCCTTCAAAATACATTTAACTGGCTGATAGATTTTCCCCCTGGCTATGCCATGCTAGATAGCTCCCAAACCTTCATCTTTAGTATTATAAGATGTGAATTCATGGTTGGGAGATGGCTGGCACAGGCCAGATGGTGGGTTTTATTTTTACTAAATCATCAATATAAATTTATCAAAATAAATGATATCTTTATCAAAATAAAGATTTTGCTTAGATCATGGCTGTGGCACTGGGAAATTGGATCATGATACATTTACCCTGTTGTTTACACCTGTATTAGGTATTTTGAATATTATCATCATAGTTTCAGATGGGGTCTACCTGGCAAACAGCCAGCCACTTTTCTGGTGCAGGGAGCTAGGGAATCAAAGAGAAATAATATATATTTACCAGTCCTGTTATAGAAGAACTTTGTGACCTTCTCTGGCATTGAATTCTTTAGCCTGCAGAAAATAATGACTTTTCTAGACCAGAAGCTCATGACTTGTAACATCAGTAGTGACAATAAGTAATGGAGGAAAGCTGTGACCTTTCCTAAAGTTTGCATTCTCTCCACATCCTCATCCACATCCAAAAACCTGCTTCCTTTTGGTCTTTGAGGTCATGGAATAATGGTCTAGTTTCAGTTGCTCTTTCCATGCTCTGTTCCTAGAGGCTTAGTAAGGAGTGTAGTAATGGAAATGGACCAAATACTTCCTACAAAATGGAGAGCTCTGTACACCAGGGACACGAAAGGACCAAAAGACAGTGCAAACAGATTCACAGGGAGGGGAAGTAAGATGAAAAAGCTGAACAAGGATTTAATAGATGCTTTGCCCCATTTTGAACATTTATAAACATTATTTCATTTTTTTCTTAAAGAGGAGGAAGACTTAAAGTTTGATGGTAATTTCAAACCAACCACTCAAACACAAATCCTTCACGTACTGAGTTTTGCAGGGCAGAATTGTGTTTGCTCAAAGTACCAATAGACCAATGCTTTGTTATGCACGAGCCTTTTCTCTGCTAACTGCCCCTTTCAGACTTCTGCACATTTAACAGCTTTGGGCAGTATGGTGATGTGCATGTGAATAAACATATCTATATCTCTCTCTCTCTCTTCAGTGCATGCAGTGATGTAAAAAGGATAGCACTTGGCAAAGTCTTGATGAGGCAGACTGTAAAATCACAGATGTTTCCTCTCCACAAAATCCACATAGAAAAAGTCCTCAGCAGAGCATAAAGGTTGCTGTGCTGCAGCTCTCCAGAGCATAGTAGAGCTTCAGAGCAACCTGAGCTCCCTTGGTTCCTTGGCCTCTGGTGGTGCCTGCTGCTACGTGTGGGTGTTAGTTGGGCAGCGTCAAGGAATTCCAGGTGGAAGTAAGATGGTCTGGAATAATTAGTTGTTTCCCCCTCTCTTTATGCAGACTCGTGCAAAAGGAATCATGCGTATGCTTAAAAAACAGTGGAATTTGTTGTTTACAAACTCTGGTTAGGGCACAGAGATGAACTGGAAGCATCATATACTGACTGTAATGAATAGGCTTGTCAGGCAGGTGAGTGCAAGCTGTTAAAAAATAGTGCCCCGCTACCACGTAGGATGCTCCATTAGATTGAAATTACCTGCAGAAAAAGATGTCTAGGAGACTGTATCACTGATGCTTTTTGATGAAGAATGAGATTGCAGAGTCACTGATTAGTCAAAAAGACACAAAACCCCAGCCCCGAAACAGTCCTTGAAACCAGAATTTTCCATTGTCTTGCGTGACAGCTGAGACTGTCATGGGATATGCGGAGGTAGCTACCCGAGAGATGCTAGCCTGCTTTTGGTGGCATCAAACATTTTCTTCATAGATTTCCTTCAGTCCAGATGCTAACCAGAGCTAGCAGTGACACAGTCTGTCTCATCAACTACTTGCTAAGATTTTTGCCTTGAAAGAGTGGAATATGGTGATGTGGTGAAATGCTGGGATGGGATAAGAATCCCCCATTGTCATTTCCAGATTCAGTGCCAGACAGACTAGTTTCTGATAAAGTTGATTCAGCGCTCATACGGGACAAGCCGGTTCAGGAGACAGTGCCAAGTGAGAAGAGGGCAATGGAGGAGAAGAGAAGCATTGTCAAGAGCCCTCAGCACATGGCTGATACCTCCGTCGATGATATTGGCATTCCCCTGAGGGTAAGACAACGCTGAGCATGTGGTCGATGCAGAGAACCTGGGCCAGATTCTGCCTACCTAGGACTCAAGGAATTCACTAAAGTTCCAGACACTGCAGAGGTTTAAGGGACGATAGAATTCTACTTCCAATGTATTTCATTATGAACACTTCCATTTACTATCAGTGACCTGTTTCAGCTGCCTCAGAGGGAAAACTTAAAAATTAATATCTCTTTTCATCAAATTTGAGAATACTGTTTTCTGCTCTTCTGTTTCATTCAGAACTAGCAACTAAGGGAGAGTTTTGTCTCATTTCAGCCATCTTAAAGGCAGATATCCCTTTTACACAACACGTTTAATTTCATTCAGTGTTCAGGGGAAATTATCATGAAAAGAATTATTAACGTATTCTTACAACTAGTGTCTGGAATGACTTGAATGCTAAATGTTTCTAGCTGTCCATTGAGTACTTAGGAAATTGGTACATATGACTAAAATAGGCAAGGTATCTACTTTTAGATATCAAATCAGATTAATATGCAAAACCTTCCATACAGTCTACAGTTCTACACAGGTTACAACCTGCCCCTGCAAAGCTTGTGTATTATTAGTAACTTGAGTGAAGCCTGTAGCTTCATTACATGAGAGATTATATATCATGAGTGAAATCACTCATATTTCAAAGTATTAATTTCATATAGCCTTCATATAGCAGAGCGTAAACCTTTTTCATTGCTGGAAGATTTGTAAGAACTTTGAAAGGCTGGTAGGAGTCGTGGTTGTGATTGTTTATGTGTATATGTATTTTTCCAATAGAATACAGACAGATCGAAGGACTGGTACAAGACGATGTTCAAACAGATCCACAAGCTAAACAGAGGTACTGTAACACAGATGTTTTTTATTTACTTTAAAAGACCTTGATAACATTTTGTTTCATTCATGTGAAGAATTGTACTGGATGTTAAATAAAAGCATTTTGTGTTAACTAGTGTTTGCTCTGTACCACAGAACTTAACCAATGTATTTGAAATCTCTAAAGTCAAAGGTGAGGGAAGAGTGAAGTCCAAAGAAAGGTCTGTGTTGTTTTGAAAGGTGAACTGCAGTGCCCTCATGAAATTGAGTACTATTTGACATCAGAAAGCTGCTAATAATTCCCTACTTAGAGAAAATAGATCCCTGAACTCCAGTTTTAGCAGCTAACCCCACCCCCCCACCACTTTTAAAGGACAGTAGGTTATCACTGAAACTGCTCTGTGCCTAAGAGAAAACTTACTATACTGTAAAGCTTTAGTACTTGCATAACATAGCTTGATTTGAAGCTCAGTGAAACCAATGGAAAGGTTTCCATTGATTTTTGGTGAGTTCAGAATCTGAACTCTGCTTTTTCAAAACCTCAGATTTTCTCCTTTCAAAACCTAAAAATGTGGTGAGCACTTGCAAATTTTGTAATGGTGCACTCTCAGGGGATCCCCTACTTCGGGGCATGTCTGTGCCTGGCTGCTGATACATTCATGTTCTTTCTTCTGTGTGAGAAATGGCTGCAGTAGTATTTGCAAACTGAACCCTCTGAACAGGCTGAAGTGCAGGCAAATGCAATTCAGAACTCCGCTTATATAATAGAACATAGAGCATGCAAAACTGGAGCTGTATTTGCCGCTACAGCTGCTGTCATGATGAGCTTTATGCATAGATAGATGCTGTGTTGTATTGGATGGAATGAGAGGGAGTTGAACTGTTTCCTAATCCCAGTGCTCCTAACAGAGGTTCTTCAGCTCAGCAAAAGCCTGTGCTTCAGGAGGAGGAGAATGAGTTCAGTTCCCTCGGCTTCCAGGATCTCTTGCAGGGCCCAGACATGCAAGGCAGCAATGAGCAAAGAGGCATCTAGGGTGTGTCATGCTAGAACATCAGCACGAGAGGAACCGTTCTCCAGTCAGCTTGTATGGATTCTTGTGTCGCCCTTCTTCCCCTTTAAATCTGTCCTCTCTGTTCTTTTTTGCAAATCATGTTCCTCTCCTTAGACACTCCTGAAGAAAACCCTTATTGCCCTACCTACATATTTCCTGAACTTCCTGAAATCCAGCAAAAAACTGAAGGTACCAGAAGTCTAGTCAGAGTATCTGTTGTCTTGTGCGTTAACTGTACTATAGCACCCTAATAGTAACTAGATTCAGGTTCTAGATTTCCGTTACCCATGTGTTACACTCACTGGAAATTCAGTTATACCTGGTATACCTTCTTGTGTGATGCATAAAATAACTAAATCTTTGCTAATCCATTAATCTTTTTTTAAAGTATGATGCCATTTACTCTAGTATTATTAAAGTAGGCCATAAAATCATACAGTGATAGGAAATTGGGGGATGAAGCAGAACCTCCACTTTACTGTGGATAGTCTCAAAATCCACTGCTTTTCTCTGCTGCAGAAGACAATCCTTATTCACCTACATACCAGTTTCCTGCGTCTACTCCTAGTCCTATCTCTGAAGGTAATAATAAAGGACCATATATATCTTTCTGCACATATGCTGCCTTATCCATTTATTTTCCCTGGAATTTTTTCTAGTTGCTGAGCATTATGCTGCCTTGTAATGATTTGCTGCACTCTAAGCATTGCCTTGACTGTATGATGCCTTTTGGCTTTGCAGCGCTCTTCTGGCTTTGTAAATAGTATTTGACTAATGCTACAGACTTGGGGTTTGCTTGGTTTTATGCGCTTATCAGTTGTATTTAGCCATGTGTGTGCAGTGATTATTTAACACGCCTAGTGCTGACTTACATGTAAAGATGTGGTTTAACTGAGATTTCTCCCCCTCCCCCTTCGGATCAATACATTTCTTTAATTATTTACTTCTGCTTTTGAATATTAACACAGTATTAGGGCCAGACCCAACATGCCACTGAAGTCTATTGGTAAAAAGGCTGCTTGCTTCAGTGGGTTTTGGATCAGTCCCTCAATGTAGTCTTTTAAAATAAATATAACTTGGTAACATAGGTTCAGGGCTGGCCTTAGGTGCACTTGGCATATCTAGGCAAGGACAGAGTTTGATAGTCTCATCAGCACATCTTGCAACTTGAAATAACGCTTTAGCTTATCCTTTTCATGTGCTCAGCAGATTCCTTTAAACTTCATGTGCAAACCAGAATCCTTTGCAGTCATGTTTCAGGGGTGGTGAAATAGCATCTGTTGCAGTGATAATTGTGTAACTCTGTGCATATGCTTGAAAACACTTATATGTGAGAAACACTGGAATCTGCTGCACACATTGGACGTACAGACATTTCCTGATTGGGAAATTGATGTTGGCGACAGCCTTGTTGACTTGGTGCTTTGGTGTTCTGTTAGATCCTGCAATTTAGGAACTTGCCTACTTAGCCTGTGCCTCAAGCCAACCCTGATGAGACTGTTAATTAACCATTTCATTCAATGTTTATATTAAACATCTGGTGGGTACTGTGTAAGAAGAAAGCATACAATATGGGTTCTAGCTGAGATGCTCAAAGAAGGCTAGGAGATGTAAGGTGTGTTTCACTGTTAAAATCAATGTGGACTAGTGTCATAGAGGTATCTAAGATACTTGCTCGTTTCTTGGTGAAACCTGTAGGTGAAAAGTCCTGTCTTGCAAATCATAATGCAATGTAAAATACTTTCAATTGACAGAATGGTATGTGGATATGGATGAGAGAGAAACAAAGCGTCTCTGTAACTAATTGATAAAGGAGTTTTACAGAGATTCAATTTTCTTGTTCATAATGAAGTTCTAAAATCCATTTTGCTCTTGTCTGAACTAACATAGTTTGCAAAACCAATGATGACAATATATTAAGAGTCTGGTTTCTCATAAATGTCCCCTACGCACTTACAAATGTGCATATGAAAGTGATTTGCTGGTTTAGGTAGTTGAAATTCTATTGGACCAAACACTTGCTTTTTATTCTCAGTACATTGGGAAATGTGTCTCTGATATTTGCTTGGATTCTTTCTTTGATAAGGAATCCGGAATATCTGATGATGTAGACAGGTTGGAGTGCATGTTTCATGTTTAGAAACCATCTCAAAGTTATATACTCAATGGCAAAGTGTTTATACAGAGATGGGTTGAAGCCTCAATTTCATACAATCAGTGTCAGAGTTTTTTGCTTTGGATTGATGCATAGGATCTCCTAGAAACATCAAGATTTGGGGTCCCCTCTAAAAAATCTTAAGAGTCTCTATAAACGTAGAGAATATGGCCAACCCACCAAAAAAACCCCCTGCAGAATCTCTAGGAACTACAGGAGAACAGCCTCTTCTTGCTGAAGGAATTGGATTTTGAAACTACAGACTGGTGACGCCCTGCTCCATTAAGGAGGGTCCCACAGATAGAATGCAGCTCTGAGAGCCAGGAGATCTTGTTTTACCACTCATCTCTGATTTACTCTTTAATATTTATCAAGTCATTCCAGATTTCTGTGTTTCAGTATTCCTTGCTGTAAAAAGGGAAGAAATGTAGACACTCTTCTTCATAAGATACTCAAAGAGACAAAACATACCTGTTCTCCTTATTATTGTAGGTATTAGAATATTAGCAATTAGAAAATAGCACTCATCTGAAGTGAATTTTTTTATTGTATGGTTTTCCTGTCTGAATGATGAGCTATAATGAATATTGATATTTCTCTTCAAGTAAGTACATCAATTTTTTCATTGATCATCAGCACTAAATAAGACTATGAGAGGTGAATGGCTGTGAAGATAGTTTTAGACATTTGTTCATCTGTATTTGTAGGGATCGAGAGTTTTGTGATTTACCAAGTATTTTGCTATATGGATAAATCCAATTTTTATATAGGAATACCAGTCAATTTTGTCAACAATTTGGTGTAATAACATTAAATAAATGAATAATTATTTTCTGTCATTTAGGTTTAAAATATGGGAATTGGCCTGAAAATTGACCTTCGCTATTTTTTAACCTGAAGGTTATGATAAGCACACCAGAGTCAATAACCACCTGTTTGGAACTTAAACCTTCCAATTCATTCACCAAGAGAACTCAGCAGAGAGGCTAAAAGTAAAGACTTCCTTGAGCCTTCCTGAAAGGCTTGATTAAGGCTTGAGTGCAATTTTAGGTCAGCTGTGTTAGCCAGATTGGTTTTTCCAGCAGATGAGATTGGCTGTAGCAGCTGATTGATGTCCTCCTTGCGAGAAGATCTGGAAATTGTTTCAATCTGTTGATCGGCATCGCTAAATTCACATAATTTTTTAGTATGTTCTTTTCTTATCTAGCTTATTCTAGCTTCATCTATTTTGTTTCTCTGTCTTTTTATCTCTGTCGCTTTTAGTGGTTTCTTCACAGAGGTATTAGTAATACTTTTGCTCACAGTTCTCTTTGCAGTCATTGCATTGTACTTCCCTGCATTTTGCCTTGGAAGTCCTGTAGATGTCTCATATGCACATCCCTGCAAGTTTGAACCCTCATCAACAGAGAAAGGTGATGGGCCTGTGGGTCCAGCTTCCAAGTCTGATCCCAACTCCTCCTGTTACTACCTGCAATTCGTTGAGGATTTGTTCCAAAGCCTGTTGAAGATGGTGGAAAGATACCGCTACGTTTTTGATCAAGTCAAAGTCTCTCTGGCCATCACCTGTAGAGTGGAGGGTGGTAATGCTGCCATCTTCCCACATTCTTTTTGGGCACATCTGCCTTGCGTGCTACAGTACCATGTTATCTTTGAATAAAGCAGTATGTGGTTCCACAGCCCAAGGCAGCAGTTGTGTCCTAGGAACGACATTGTTGATGCAGTATAACACTTTCACTGTCAAAGACAGAAGGTTGTTCACCTTGGGGGCCAGCCCACACCACTCAGTTACACTGATGTCATTGCTAGCTCTTTTAGAGCTGCTTGAGTATCTCTATTGCATTCTGCAGACATGTTGTTCCTATTTAAAAAGGAAGCTCTTCAGAACAAGGACAGTCTCTTGGTGCAAGTATACATGTGTGTCTCGTGCCAGGAACGTTATCTGCGCTTAAAAGATAACCCAAGTCAGTGAACATACTTCAACTTGGTGTGCAAGTTAATACAAGGAACATGTCCCAGCAATTATCGTATGTGATTGGGAGCAGGACTGCTCAGCTTTATTACTGTGTCTAGCACCTAATGAGTTATTTTAGGCATATGCTACAACTTTTAGATCCTCTATTTGTCTTTCAACTTTTGATAAAGTGGATCTAATAACCCTTGCTGCAGAGGAGTTTCATGAAAAAAAGTTATTGTTTTCTAAAGTGCTTTGAGAGCCTGGAGAAACATATTAGTGCAAGTAGTACATTAATATTTATATCTAATCTAGGAATTATATTTCAATGCAATTTAAACCTCATTGGGATTTTCTTTTTTAGGATCCTCTCCCTCTGGTGAGTATTGGGCATATCACTCAAATTGTGGCCAATGTATTGGCAGAAGAAATTAAAATGGTCTACGGTCTCTCTTCTTTGGGGCTTTTTCAGCTCACTTGCAAAATGCTTTTGTCTTTCAGATGAAGATTCTGATTCATACTCTCCTCGTTATTCCTATTCTGAGGACAGTAAGTAATTCACATTTCTTGTATAATCTGTCAAACAGAAAGGGCATGTAAAGCACGTATTTATTTGCCTCCTATCTAGTTCACTAATATTCCTATATTTGACTTATCCTACAGGCAGAACCCAGCTTTCAGTTCCCCGCTCCAAGAGTGAAACGGACACTATTGATTCAGAGAAGGTTGTTAAGAGGTCTGCCACTTTGCCACTGCCAAACCGTACTTCATCACTGAAATCAAGCCCAGAAAGGTGACCTGAACTAAGATATATTTGGATCAGTACTGGAAGAATCTCTGAAACCTGTGAATGGGAAAGGAACAAAGGTGGAAGCTTTAGGTGCACAACTCCAGTTAAACTTTTTTGGGGAAGTGGAGATTTAGTTTTGGCACTGACTCTTCTACTAGGCAGCAGTGAACCCCTTCATTGTCACAGCCCAGTCCCCCATTTTGTCTGTCTTTTTTACCAGGCATCACACAGTCTGTGGCGTAGTTTCCTGCCTGGGTGAGGAGTGTTTCCCTGGGTGTCATGCCTATACAGTGCCTACCACAGAGGCACAGTGGAAACTCTTGGCTCAGCGTGACACTGTAAAGGTACCTCAGAATACCAGCAAGTAGCAATAATTATGGAGAAGTAAAATTTGGATTTATGTTGAGCCTTGGTAAAAGTTTTGCTACATTTTCCATCTCTGAGGAGTCCCACCCATATGAACTTTTTTGGAAGTATGTTCTAGTTAGGGGTGTAATTTCTGATCTTTCAGGATGACTTCCCTCCTCGTTTTTTGCTTTGTTACCATGTATTTTAAACCTCTTTGTAACAGTAATGAATGTGTTTACCAAATGAAGGGAAAGCAGAATGAGC